ATGTTGTATAAATTTTGAACGTAGAGTCTTTTCATAGGAAAGTTACTTTGCTTCACTATTTTAGCTTCCTTTAGTAAAAAGTAGACATAATTTCTTTTCTACAGGCATCATGAAGATTAGCTGATGGCAAAACCATGAGATTCCATGTGTTGATGATGTGTTAGAAATTTTGTAAATATATTTTAAATGGCACACATTAATGTATTAACATGGGAGGCAGCACTGATATAAAAACAGCTTGTTGCCAATTTGTTGTCTCGTCAAGTAAGCCACAAACAGGATATTTTGAACCTATTTTTTTGGGTTTTTTTTGGCATTCATTGTAGTATAAATGGTTATAATGATTTCAGGTGTGTTCTTCCTAGCTAACCAACATGCATTAACTTGAAACAATGAAATTGCGATTTTTCTAAGTCAGAAATGTTCAAATATCTGCCATTTCTTATAGTTCAACCTAATACAGTAAGAAAGGATTAACCAGGCAATAAGGAAAGAGGTTCAGGAGATCTGGGAGGTATTCCCAGAGGATATGCCCAGAGGCTGAATGCTCCTGGGGAAATCGTAAGCATCCCTGTGCTTATTTTCTTATTTTCACTGTGAGGCTAACGAAATAAAATAAAATGGCCAGTTAAAATTTGGCAGTGTTTTGGGGTGTTGTTGCTGTTGTTGTTGTTGTTTGAGATGGAGTCTCGCTCTGTCACCCAGGCTGGAATGCAGTGACACAATCTCAGCTCACTGCAACCTCTGCCTCCCAGGTTCAAGTGATTCTCATGCTTCAACCTCCCGAATAGCTGGTATTACAGGCATGCACCACCACACCCAGCTAATTTTTGTATTTTTAGTAGCGATGGAGTTTTGTCATGTTGGCCGGGCTGGTCTTGAACTCCTGACCTCTGGTGATCCTCCCACTTCGTCCCCCCAAAGTGCTGAGATTACAGGCATGAGCCACCACACCCAGCCAAAGTTTGGCAGAGTGTTTAGTGACATCCAAACACAAACACAATATGGTTTCAGATGAATATTCCTTATTTTTCCAATCCACATGTTAGACTTTGGGAAATAGCCCTTGGCCCCTTGATGGATCCTTCAATGTAAGTGCTATTGCAGCCTTGCAGAGCTACATTCTACTTGAAGGGCTAGTAAGTAAGATTGCAGTCTTGCAGAGCTACATTCTACTTGAATGGCTAGCTCATCTTTATATAATGCCCCAGGCCATGCAGGCTGCTTGGCATCTTTGTGGAAATAGAGTAATTGTCCCAACAAGCCCGTTTAGCAATTACTCTGTGTCATTATTAAAATATTATTCTCTTATTGTGAAGAAAAGATACTAAAGCATGCTGTAGGTCAGTCATTTTCTGGTGATAGGGATAAGAGGATTAGAATCCATTCAATTTTTAAAACTTTACCTAAGAATAGGTAGAAAATATATGCTTGAAATAATCTCATTCTAGTTTATTGTTATTTTATTTTTTTCTAAGCCTTCTTTACAAATATATTTTCCTACTGTAATTCAGTTTAAATGGATGGTTTTTACTGCTTAGTAAAATTGTTGACTGTTGATTTATAACTGATACAGTCCTTCGTAGTATTCAACGCTCTCGTTGAAAAAATTCAGCCACAATGAATAAGGAGCGTTCCCAAGAACTCCCAGACAAAAAAAGAAAAACAAAAGAAAACATGAAACTACCCCCTGGATCAGAATGAAAATGTATTTGCTCCTAACATCAGATGTCTTTGGTTTAGAATATTTATTTCAACTTGAAATTTTCTTAATTTGTAGACATAATCTTGACATCAGTGAACATGAGATTTTGGACACTATTGCATTGCAAATGATGAGTCTTTAGTGCAGTCAATGTTTTTATCTTAAAGAAAATGATTTTATCTTTCACGACAATAATAAAGGTGACCTAGAAAAGTGTTCCTTAAATAATTCCAAGCTTATTACATTAATTAGCAAATATTAATTGATAGCAAACCTAATCATCTTTTCTTCTAATTTGTTCACTACTTCTGTTCCTTTGCAATCCTATTCTCACCCCATTTTATCTTTTATAAAAATACACACAGGGTGTCTCTTTTTTACATTGGTAAATGTTTTCAATGTCACAAAGTTAATTTTCTCTATTTTTAATATAAGCAAATATTTTAATATATCCAGTATATTTAATAAGTTACATATAAAAATATCTACTATTTCTATCACTGGGCCTAACGTAGGTACATACTCAATATATGATTGAATTTTAAAGAAAAAGTATTTACTGAAATAAAATAAAGAGTGAAATGCCAGAGTTCTTTTAAATTGTGGCTACAAATTATATCATATGGTTAAAAGGATAACTTCACTAGAAAAATGGGTCTAGAGATAGTTTGTTTTTTTTGTTTGTTTGTTTGTTTTTTTGAGACGGAATCTTTCACTGTCACCTAGGCTGGAGTGCAGTGGTGGGATCTCGGCTCA